TGGTATCACTAGAAGATGTATACAAAAGGACGCCAGATGAACTACTTCCCATGATCCTTAAAAAAACTAAATAAGAACCATATTGGCCTTTGCGTGGCCCTCCAAAGGCCGTTCGGTTCAACCTAACCCAACCCTAAAATGTGTTTATTAAGTTAAGAGGGGGGAGAATTAACTTTAGGGGGCAGATACCTTGCGTTGTACGGGCGCCAGGGTGTGCGGCATTAGTGCACAGCCAACAATAAACAGTGGCTTGCCGCGAAGTAATTTTGCGGCCATGTGGACAATCCGTGGCACAACAGGTTGACATTATGTTGAAATAATAGTAAATCGCAAAAGCACTCGCAAGTAATAGAAAGGCAATTAACTTGAGTGGCGAAGGAACCGATCAAAATAGAAAACAGGGCGAGTGAAAAATATAAGCTTTTATCTCAGCTAAAGAAAGTTTGAGATTGTGTGATTGTTCGTGGCTTGCAAATCACTTACAGCAACAACAACACTGAAACCGGTGCAGCAGAAACACACAGCGCAAGAAAACAAGGGCAAAAGAAAATTTTTCGGCGATTTTGTTTTCGGAAATTAAAGTCACTGTCTTTATATGAGATGATCCAGATGTTGTGGGTAAATAAAGATCGCCAAAACACTGATCACTTGCCAAAAATTTGGGCTTTTTAGAATTAATATTCACGGTGAAAACTTTAAGCGAAGGTAGAGCGAAGGAAAACACGTCCGACTTGTAGGCAAAAGCTTTCATGATACAATACAATTAAAAATTATAACTTTTTCAGTTTTCAACAGATTTTCATCAAATTTGAGGTATAGCCATTTTATATTAGTCTTAGGTTTTGTGTCAAATTTCATCAAAATTGGACGACTATATCATATACATAGGTGTCATACAAACGATCGTTTGATGTATAGGAAAAATACAAATCTGTGAATGTAAAACTGCAAATATAATATGTTTAGGTGAATGAAATAAAAGCAGGAATTACTTCATTGTTTTTTAACACAAATTTATATTGTATTTTGTATGACTTCCTAGTCATAGAAGTTCTATCTGCAAGGGTATATAAACTTTGGCTTGCCAAAGTTAGCTTCCTTTCTTGTTTAAATTGAATTTTAGTCCCGTTCGCACGCGACATATTAGAAAGCAATAATTCGAATTAAAAATGTACAAATATTGGAAATCGCGTACGTCCTCTTCCATTTTATATTGACTCTGCCTTCTCTGTATAATTTTAAAAAGCAACAGTCAAAGCAAAATGTTTTTTTAAGATATTGGTATCAAAACAAAACATGAATTTTTTATAAAAACAACAATTCGTTTAAACGTGTTTACCATCGATTATTTAACCGTAAACGTGTTAAAAATACTCGTTTTAAAGAACTTTTTTTTTTGGCCGCGGTGGACCTTTCTGGAGAAATGCCCAAATACTATATATACATATACTTTAGTTCGTCCTATCCTTGAATACGGGTCTTGCGCTTAGAACCCTCTGTACGGCGTTCATTGTAAACGAATCGGTACAATACAACCTTTTACTTTTGGCTTTACGCGGCTTAAATTGGGATGCAAGCCATCCTATTCTAATAGACTTGCCTTCCTTAGCCATCCAGAGAATTATGCTAGGCATTACCATTATTATCCGTGGTGACGTGGAAAATGTTAAAAGTGTATGCTGGTTTAACTCAATTTCCACGTACCGAGTAAAAATACTAGATACTATATACCCTTAGTGTGGCGCCATTGTAGAACATTCTTTGAATTGCATAATTTGTATGTGCAAGTTATAATGATTTGTACCACCTAATTTTCAACAAATATAGCCTTTTTAAATTCAAAACTTTAGTACTAGCGCACTTATTACACACGTAAGCAAACAGTCTGCAGCACGCCGGTATTTAATTTTCTCGTATAACTCCTAAACCAACAGTGCTTGGTTTCATACGGGCCACTTGAGTGTACTACCCGTAATGCATCAACGTCTAGTGAAAATACAAGTGTCTAGGTGTCCCTTGGTTTCACATAATGCGGCCCTCAGCCAGCTCACCCTGAAATGCCTCCACCGCTGATGATCCTCGATGACTGAAGTAGGACTCGGGTCCTGTGGTTTTGACTAAGTCGCGCTGGCGCTGATCCTCGAAGTAGCAGGTGTTTGCTTGGTGTTGCTGACGAACGCGCCCGATTTTCGAATTTCTCAAAGAAATGTTAGCGTGTCTTCCTTTGTCGCAGATCGTGCCACCTTTTCCTTAAAGGACCACAGTCTCTACCTAGGATATTCTTAAATATGGCAGCCTACTCTTTGGCCATTAGGTCAAGGGAAGGGGGTCCCGCTAGGACCAGCGTCGCATAGAGAAAGACCTTCCTGAACGCACTGCAGCTGCGTAGAGCAGCAAGTTGGTTGGAAGCCGTCAAGCCACGTCTGTAAGATAGCGTCCCCATGACATACCTCTAAACTGGGGCAGGGCACAGCATGGCAGCTTTGGCTGCACTCGACAGCAGTAGTTTGCTAGTCTACTTCGGACCACGGTGGTTTAGCATAATCCTGGCCATCGAGCGTATTGACGGTGCAGCATTGGAACTTGCGTACGCTAGGTGCTCTCTGAACGAGATCGTCGTGTCGATCATTACACCTAGGTTAATAATCATTCTAGCCGATACTACTACGGTGTCGTTAACCCGGACCCCCACACTTCTTCCTTCTTCTTGTCACTCACCAGTACGGCCTCAATCTTCTGTGGCGCGAGCTGTAGCCCGACGCTCGAAAGAAACGAGCTGTTAATGGAGATACTCTGTAACTGTACTCTGTAAGCAAAAGCCGGAGAACTCCGTCGGATATTTCGTTCCACAGTTGTGGCGCCAGTACGAACCCTTGGAAGACCCCGCGTGCACTTTAGCAAGTAGCAGGGCATGCCGAAATTAGACAGAGCGTCCCGCCCTATTCGGAAAGCACTCCGTGCCCGGGGCTATCGTGACCTTGTCCTGGCCTTACGTACCTCCTCTTTAATGACGGGTTTCGGATCGTGCCGGGTGTCGATGCTATCCTGGTGGGTGAGCTCAGGATTAACCATCCTGGGGAATAGGAAGACAACTCCGTTTGTCCTTTCTGCGTCCATTGGGGCGCAATGCTTAGATCTATAGACCTTGTTTACTATCATCTTGTAGGCGTTTCCCCCCAGGTCCCAAACCGAAGTACCACAGGGGTCAAGGAAGCATTTCCTTTTGCTTCTGTTTGTTGCACAATGAGTGCATTTCGACAATGATGGTATTCATCTCGCTTGCCCAGGTGATTGCTCGATTGATCACACAAATCGTACATTCGCCTGGCCCTGATTCTAGCGGTTCCATCAAAATGAAGCAGCTGACGCAAGCCAGCTCCCGCTTGGCTGCCCTACATTGAGTAACGCCATAGTGCCTATAGTGTTGGTGGTTGCGCTGCTCCAGTCATCTGCCCAGACGTTCAAATCGCCCGCTATTAGCGTAGTGTAAGCTAAGCAAGCAAGCTAAGCACCTCGCTGTAGGCCAGCTCAGGTGGAGTGCTTATGATCAGCGCATCCTTTCTTACCCTCTTGCCGACTCGCTCCGGGCTGGTCTTACCGTACCTTCTCATCGGCTACCTTTCTGCCGCTGGCAGCAGTAGTTGCCCAATTGGCAACTAATTTTACCGGCTGAATTTTGACGCTTGGTGAGGTCTGATTCGATTTTTCCGCTCTTTTTTCCGGTCTGGGCCTGGGCCGTCTGACACCCCTGGTCTGCAGTATCAGTTAATCCCCTAGTTTATGCTGCGGTCTTTGTGCACATTGATCCTTGTAAACAGGTCATCATCATTCGCTGCCGACTGATTTGGTGGAGACACAGACCAGATCGCCAGCAAGTATAATGAAGACGCGATGTGGACTTGAGCTGTATGTACTTGCTGCCAGGTGGCATTGTAACAGCCGGCCTCTGAGGCACAGACGCAGGCTGCGCAGCCGCACATTCTGGGACAGACGCTGCTCGTAGCGCACATGGAGTGTGGAGGAGCACATAATAGGGCTTTCATCGGTGGCCAGGGATTCCCACAGAGCCCCGTTTAAAGGTGTGCCGCTTCGCGGAGGGGATGGTTATTGGTCTGCTACATGACCTTTACCACCCCTTAGGCCTTCTGTATGCTAGCAGGGAGTTTTCACGACTCTAGTCTTACTCCTTGCCATAAGCTCGAGCCATCCGCCCGAAACAGCTACGGATTCTGCAGGCTCTCTATTAGTGCGTGTCGTAGCAGGTAGCTATAGACAGTAAACACTGTTTTAATTATCAGCGCCCTATTGCCGCCCAAAGCGCCCTGTGTGCGATTTTGACTTGCAAACGCAGTGTTGATCAATTTGAAGGCTTAGCCGCCTTCGCGCTTTCCAACACTGAAACACAGCAGCTGCTCTGTCTATAAGCTGGCATGATATGCAACTTCATGACGGCCGCCAACTTTTTAAGAGATTTTGCCTCGGTGAAAAGAGATAGTGTGGAAAGCGCTCCCCGGAGGGAGACGCCTCCACCCATCCATACCTTTGCAGAGATGGACACCGTTTGAACAATTAGGAACGGCGAATTGCAGTTCGAGGTTCCCGGACCAAACGTGATTAATGTCGGACAGCCGACGCCCCTTCGCGCACCACTGTATATTCTCAATATGTGCAGACATTTCCGTAGAAACGGCAGGCAGACATGGCTAGATCGACTCCCTTGTTGATACTGATCAAGAAGATATAGTTTATAAGGTCACGTACGTCCCCATTATCTATTATATTATTTAACAAAATTGCAATTTTCCTCAGCTGCTACATCGGCGTCACCGAGCCCAATCTATGTCTTATGCTAAAATTTTAAAATAACTTAACTTAACTTTATTTTAGTAATCACATCTAAGAAAAATAAAATACTGAGCGGAGTTCTGGTCAGTCTAAGCAATCTTCTTAATGTAGTCCGTAACATAAAATCGTTTATTATTTTTAATAATCTTTCATTATTATTTTTATTATAACATATTTTATTTATATTTTTAAAGCAAAAACCATGCTTAAAAACTGTTCATAATGTATTGTGATGATCCCATCCATGTCAGTGTCGTGCTGCCGGAATGCTGTAGTTAAAGTCTGTAAAAGAAAATTAATTACTCAATACAACAGACTATTTAATCAAAATTATATATTTTCTAAGAATACTGTAGTTTGTCTAAACATATTATGTTAAAATTAAAAAAAAAAACGTAAAAAGGTAATTAGGCAGAAAAAATGTTGACTAATACAGAAACAGATAATATGGCGGAAGACCCAAATAAATACAATTGGTGCTGTTTTCATACATTTGGCACGATAGTCGCTTGGAGCACTTACTTCACAACTTAGAGTAACTCAAGCTCTCTCATCTACAAAATATTGATCAACATAACCTACTTCTGCAGTCTTACGTAATAAGCTTCCTTACTTGTATTCTGATAGTCTTTCGTTTGCTTCTCAGGTTATTGTGATCACATAAATTAAATCCGGATATTCTGAACTCTGAAGTTTCTCCAACTCTGTTCACAGTATATCGGCTACATCGGCCTATCAGAAGTGGTGATGGAGTCCTTATATCGCTTGACTTCTCACTCACGTCAGAATTATTAACTTTCGCGGAATGCAGCGATGTTGAATTAATCTACGTAAAGCATCTGCTAATGCTAGCTCCATTTTACCTACCAGTTCCTACATACCTCTATTATCAAAACTACATATTTATTGGAACCATCTTTCCGCTATTCAGATGGTTTCCAATAAACTTTCGGAAAATGACCTATTTGGTCCTCAAACAATTCTACCAATACCCGTTTTACTTCTTCACAACATGACCTTATAAATGGCTTGCGACACAAAAACAAAAACCACTGCTCATTTCCAACTCAAAATTGTTAAAAATTAAATTATAAAAAAATATGTTGTACTCGTTTTATTACTAAAGGGAACTTAGGGCCCCATACATCATCTAAGGTTTAATCAACACATTATATTGTTGTCCCGCTTGCACTTACTAGGTTGAGCCTCTCTCACTCGCACTCATTGCTATGATTGAAGAGGTACCAGATTTTTCCGATGGAACTTTGTTTTATAATTGTATCATGGTCAAGCATGTTCGAAACTTTTTAACAGTGCTTGCTCGATCTTTGTTTTGTCTCTGATTTGGCGAGGGTCAGTCTAGTCAAGATGGCGCCACTGACTCAACCCTTCATTCAATGTGACTCGAAATCAGGTCTGACATACAACAAAAATCCAAAAAAATCCTCTGTTTTCGCCAGACGGACGTTGAACTGCTGAATAATTTTATATATGAATTTAATTGGTCCGATCTATACATGAACTTAATTTTCAGTCCTAGCGTCAACGAAAGCTCTCTTATTTTAATATCTTCATATTGTCAAGCCAGTTTAGTTGGCAGGTCCCGACGGTATTGCTGGCTGTGTGCCCAGGTATTGTGCCGACGCCCTGTGCTATCCCCCTCCCCTTATTTCGAAGCAATTTTTTATTATTCCTCTTCACAAAAATGGTAGAAAATGGGATGCCAACAATTATAGAGGAATCTCTAAGTTGTCGACCATTACAAAACTTTTCGAAACCATATAAAGTCCCCATTTGCAGCACCTTTGAAGATCAGTTATTTCTCCATGCCCAAATGGTTTTATTAAGCGAAGATCAACAACCACAAATTTTTTTTAGTTCCCTTCCCATATTATAAAGGGTTTTCATAATAATTTTCATACAGAATTACAGGTGTAATCTATATCGGTTTCAGTAAAGCATTTGACTTCGTTAACCATTCTCTCCTTGTTAAGAAACTCGATTTAATGGGTTTTTCAGTGTCTTATTTTTTACATTATTTATAAATGACATACAGATCTTATTAATTTTTAAACAAGGTCCCGCGTAAACTTATGAAACTTAAACGGGTCTAAAGGAAAGCTGACATTCTCCCGTGTCGTTCCCAAGCTTTGCAACTTACAAGCTAAACTGCTGCTCTTTCGAAAGAATTAATTCAGTTGATGATTTCGGCGTCCACTTTGATCCTAAACTTGGCTTTATCGATCATATTTCGTCGATGGTGAATAGTGCCAGGGGTGTGCTTGGATTTATTAAACGGTGGTCTAAGAAATTCAATGACCCTTATGTAACTAGATCTTTATATATTTCTTTTGTTCGTCCTACAGAATACAGAATACAGATGCTGCGTTTGGACCCCTCAGTACGGCTTTCATAGTATACGCACCGAATCGGTTCAAATGAACTTTGTACTTTTTGCTCGACGCGGTTTAAATTGAGAGGTAAAGCAAAGATTACCTTCCTACTCTAATCGGCAATTTACCCACGCAACGAAGTCTGATAGACTTTCGCTGACTTTGTTAGTTTATAGTAGTTGTTAGTAAAAATTTGTAGGAGGCAGTACTTTTTAATTAAGGTAGGTATATATTCACAATATATAATCAAGAGGGGCCTATTAATCGTGGGGTGGTGTCCTCATAGCGGTTTACTCCACACTCAAAATTTATTAATTAAATTTCGAGGAGTGCAACGGTGTTAAAATTATTTATGTGACTTTATATAAACGATAGCTTAATTTCCAATAGACTTTTAAATTGGGACCATTTAGTCAGAGTTCCTAAGTTGTTCTTTTTTAGGACAAATCTGTCCGCAAAAATATTAAAACATCATGTGTCCTAAAATGTATCCTTTTTTTATTTTATTTTTTCTTTTATCATCCTTTTTCAGTTTTCATATCGAATTTGGGTATTCGATAAGATTTGTTAATTTTTTAATTTGTGTGTTTGTCGTATATTCTAATTATTTACTAACAATTCATTTTGTAGATAGCTTGTCCTAATCGATTTTTTCTTATACTTATTTTAAATGACAAAAACGACGCAAAGAAGGCTAAGCCGCACGGGTGCCGTAGTCTATACAGACTCGGACCTGGAGAGCGTGCAGCTTTCAAAAGAAGAGGAAGAAAGCCTTCTTCTCTCGTCGGAACCATGGACGGGCCGAAGCGCTTAAGTGAGAAAAGAAGGCGAAGGCGCAGTATAAAGCTGCCTTTCGCCTCCAGAGCCGGCTTTAGACAAAAGCTGCCCTAGCCGAAGAGGAGAAGGTAAAGCTCCCCTGGGCCGAGCAAAGGATCGAAGAGAGCAGACTGCACTTCGCCAATCTTCCCAATATGGCATCAACGGGCGGTTTCGCTAACGAGCTGGAGGAGATGCTTGCCACCAAAAGGCAACGCTCCGCCGAGAGTGCCATAAAAGACACTCCGGGGAGCAAGCGGTAACGCGTGCCCAAGGAAGAAGGCCCGCCCTTGAAGTCGAAACTTAATGAAAAAAAAAATCACGAAGGCCAGTGAGGTGACCAAACGACACTTGATCGCACATTCATGACTACAAGTATGACATTTAATGCAGACCAAATAAAGACTGTCATCCATCTATGCCAAGTTATACAGCAACTGGATAACCAAGTGGCGGCAATACAAGCCGCACCTACTCAGACGGGTCCCTCAAATTAAGGTCTATAGACCAATAGACGTGAAAGATGACGTTGCTTGTGATGAGCCGCTAGACGTCGTCAAGTGCCTAGCCGAATTTGCCGGTTCCCAAGACATACTACATATTGTAGATAGCTCCCGCCATTATAAGGCGGTCAATATTATTAGGAGTAAGATAAGAGGCTTTGCCAATGCCGTGTTGTGCTCGTTCGGCACAATATTAAATTTCGGTGCGATCATAAATCGGATCGATTTTACATACAGTGACAAACAACCGATACACGACATCGCGGAGGAGCTGGGCACTGTCAAGCAATGAAGCCTCATGCTCCTCCAATACCATGACAAGGTCGAGAAGAAGCTTGCTCACCAACAAGGCCACCATGTCGTACGAAGCGTCGACAGTGAAAGTCTTGTGCGACAAATTCTGGGATGACGCCCTACGCGTTTTCATCTCAGGACTCAAATGCAGCCTCACAGACGTGCTATTCTCGGCAAAGCCGAAAGACATGATGCCATCAGCGCTCGCCTTGGGGCAAGATGTGGAATCCAATCACAAGAGACACACCTTTGCAACTTCGTTTGCTAGAAACCATGAAGAGAAAGAGCAAACAATTGCCCAAAATTGCAGGCAGCGGCAACAACCCTGTCGAACTTCTCTGCCAAATTCCTGCCGACTTTCATGCTTACCCGTTCGGTGGGTAGGACCCACCGTTTTTGTAAAGTTCTCATTCGCTTTTATTTATGCGTTAGCGGGGTAATTAATGATGCCGACGTAGCTGCTCGACTAATGATCAAATTTTCCCTTTACGCTCATGGGGAAAATTCAATCATAAAAAAAATTTCATAGCACACTAATAGAGCTTATAGAGCTTTCATTGCTGGCCACATTTAACAGATCTATCCATTCGGTCATAGACAAGAAACCTTCTGAAGTCATGCGGGCACAGCAGGACAACCCTCAAAATGACAGTCCTAATTAAGGGGAGGGTGGTCCACAAAGACAATATGAAATAGACCGAACAGATACCGGTTTCAGTTCCCTTTTAATTTTCTTAACTTTTTATTCATAGTCATTTGGCATAAGTTTTTATCAATTATAAGCCTTATCGATTATATGTTACTCATACTCTAATATACTTGATGGTAGGCAATTTTATTCCAAACAAATTTTTATTTAAAACGCACATTGCAGGTTCCTTAATTCCGTTTTCTCTCCTGACCGTAACGTCGGCTTACATCAGCGACTACTCCCAGGCTAAATACATCCCCGTCATCGATGGTAGGGTCTTAATCTGGGAAGAATACGCTCATATCAGACATTCAGCGAATCTTTCTGAATACAGACGGGTAGTGGAGGAAACCAACAACATGGCCGACATGTTTTCCCTGTCCCACATGAGAAAGCAGAATGACAGAGTCGTTACATGCTCGACTCTTTAGGCATTCATCACCAAGTAGGAGCCTCGATTTCTTAGAGACCGCGCTGAAGGTTGCCGCAGGGACACCTGACGCGGAGGATTTAGACAGGATTAAGTTCACAGAATCACAACTCATCAATTCAAACAATAGGCAAATAAACATCAACACGAAAATT